TTCACTAGTAAGAGGTGTATGTACTGATTCGCAATGAATGTTCCTCTGTTTAACTGGCCAATCCGAAAAATGGATTTCTAATCGAGTGCTCTGGCTGTCTGCTATACTTCTGTATTTTAAACATGACTTCCTGAAAAAATCCCAGGAGATGCTGATCCCTATCTGAACAACTGCAGTCAAGCTGCTGCACTACAGCATATCCCAAAGCAACATGGAAGAATGCATAATACACAGTCATCTAAAACAGCAGCCATTATTGGACAATTTTTGAGATTTCTTTCCCTGACAAGCTGTAAAGCAAGAAACTGGTCTGCTTTTAAAAAGCATCTGAAGGGATGTAGGAATATGAATGCATGATAAATGCTTTTGAAAATCTTACCTTAAAACAGTTAAAGGTTTGTTTCTTTAATACAGTGTATGAAGTTCATGCCTTGAGGGAAGGACCCTTTTTTTTTTTTTTTGGACTTTGGAAATAAGTGCATACAAATAACAGTGCTAAATGGGACTTCGTGGAATGAAATGTGCTGCAAAATAATTAGGTGCCTCCTCCTGGAAAACACTGACTTTGGTATAGCTAACAGAATTCCTCTTTTCCACCCTACAGCTGGCGCAGTATGAACCCCCTCAAGAAGAGAAGCGTGAATAGGGATACAGGAACCGTTGACGACTGGACTCAATAAAGGGCTTCATGAGAACTGTGTAGTTTGACTTTTTTAAAAAAAAACTTAATGTAGTGATCTTACATGGAGAAGGAGTTTCACTGTGCTTCAAGCCACAAAGTGGTATTTTTCTCTCTAGAGTAGGGGCATCAAGCTCAGCTGCTGCTGCTGCAGGTCACCCTGCCACCACATCCAGCGAGCAGCGTAAGTGCTCTTACCTGTGGGAGGTGAGGGCGTTACAGCTGTGTTGCCTCAGGGCTGAGCGTGGTCTTGTCTAGAGTTTAGCACAGTGGCCTCCAACCTTTTTAAGTAGATCACCTTTGACATTTAAAAGCAACCCAAGATTTACCATGTGCTGTCATGCCCCTCCCTCTGCCCAGCAGGTAAGTCTGTGGGGCGGGAAGGGGGGTGTGCAGATCAAGGCAGAGAGAAAATTATTTGGGGGTGTGCCTCCATAGTAGGTAAATCCTAGCTGGCTGGGGCCCACTCAGCTTACCCTGCTCCTGCCTCTGCATCACTGTCCCTCCCTGCAGGGGCCTCAATCTAGCCCCCTTCTTCACAGACTGACCTGCTGAGCTGAGGCATGCATGTGGGCACTTAGCTCCTCAGCCCAGCCTCTGATCAACTCCAAGAGCTACTGCTAGTTGGTGGCCATTAGTTTAGAAGAGGGTTTGTTTGGGGTGGTTTGGATGGGGACAGGCCTACTTCAGAGGCAGGGGTTGGCCTAGAGCAGCAGTTCTCAACCCTTGGGTCATGACCCAGAAGTGGGTGGCAAACACTCATGGACCAACACAATTCTTTTTTCTCCTTTTAAGGGAGAAAACTGTGGGAAACACACTCGTGGAAAAATGTGGATTCTCTCCTTTTAAAGGGGAAAAACATGAGAAGCAAACGCTCCTTTGAAAGGAGAAAAGTGTGGGGAAATGAATGTGTGGCAAAACATGGATTTTTGCCTATTAAAAAGAGAAAAATGTGAGATGCAAACTCCTTTTAAGGAGAAAAATGTGGGAAATGAACATTGGTGGAAAAAAATGTGGATTCTCTCCTTTTAAAGGGGAAAAACGTGGGAATCAAGCACTCCTTTGAAAGAAGAAAACCGTGGGAAACAACCACCCCTGTAAAAGGAGAAAGGCGTGGGAAGGCGGTTTCCCCTTGCAGGCGGACTTGCTCCTTCAACACAGTGTGAGAGGGCTGGCTCTGGCCGCTGACAAACCGGTGGTGGTGCGGACAAGCAGAGGCCGCCACCACACTCCGCGACCGGACGAGACCCGCCCCGCCCCTGTTTCAGCCGCAGCCCAGACCACGTGCAGCGTGGCCGGTCACGTGCGGCCGCCCGGGTCAGCTGACAGCGCTCAGTCACCTGACTGAGTCCCCCTACCCTGCTGGTCTGCGCCGCAGCCAATGACAGCTCGCGGTGGTGGCGCGGAGCCAATGGGCGCGGGCGGGGCGTGGGCGGGGGGCAGGCTGCGTTGCGCGGCGCG